CTGAACAGAAACCAAGATTTATAGGAATACAAAATAAATTCAGCACCCAACAAGGTAAAATTCACAATGTCTGCCATCCAGTCACAGATTACCATGTATACAAAGAGGCAAGAAAATATGTACCAATAAAGAGAAGAATTAATCGAAACCAACTTAGAACTAATGCACACATTAAAATTAAGAGGCAGTGACATTAATATGGTTATTATGTTTTTTGTATTTTAAAAAAAGTAGAGACACACAAGATATAAAAATTTTAATCTGACTTCTCTTAACAAAGCTACAATATCTCAATTGAAAAATATGCCAGATGAGATTAATAGCATATTAGACCTGTAAAAGTAAAAATTAGTGAACTCAAAGATATAGCAGTAAAAACTATACAAAATGAAATAGCAATAAAAGAGAAATCTATCCCAGAAAATCCTGTCCACAAATGTGGCAAAAGAAAATAATTTTATCTTTCATAAGCATTAAACAAGATTGTAGTTTACATCACAGGCAATCCCCTAATAAGATCTTGAAGACAGAAAGCTATCTCAGCTTTCTGTATATCCAGGTAGATAGAATGCGTTATGTACATGTTCTGAAGATAAGTGATAACATGCTCTTAAATAAGAGTACTTATTAACAGCACCATTTATTATTCACACTTCATTCTGTATTCACATGGTAATTGGAATGACCATCTCTGTTAGTTAGCTGCATATTTTTTCCTTTATACAAAGGAAAACATAAAGCCCTATCTTTATGTCAAGAAGTTAGTTACAACCTAAACAATGGTACCTAAGCTAGCCTTCCACAGTGACAGAGAGATAGGGATATTATCTTCCTTGATGTTTATATTTCAAAACTATGACTCCCAGACTTTTGAGGAAAATACACCTGGGTTGTAAAGCTAGAAAAAAATTAATATTTTTTTGCGTACCTTTATGAAACCCAGATCCCTGATAAATACTTTACTGCTGAGCTAACCAACCTTTGCTGTGATCTGCCTCTGGTCGTTTTGTTAAATGAAATACTCTGGTTGATTATGCAGTTTATAGCATATCAGCCCAATCATTGTAATTTATTTGACTCCTAAAGGTAGAGGGAAAAAATTCTCCCCTTTTTATTAGATCTGAGGATAAAGCTTAAGCCATTGCAGCATACCAGAAATGTCTACCTCCTAGTTTATCTTGAAAATTGTGTACATTTTGCATTTGAATCCATAATATACCCACTTTTTTAATTTTTAATTTTTTGAGAGATTTTTGCTAAAGGGCACATGCGTTCACCAAAAAGACAGAGACAAACAGAAAGCCAGAACTCACCCCCAGGGGGAATGGCCACGCTGCAATCCCTTCTCCTCCATTCTCCTCTCAAAATCTTGGACACACACACGCGCCCAGCGTGAGTTTAAGCTACTGGGTCCAGGACTCAAACCACAGTCAACTACGTGGGAGTCCAGTGACATAGCCATTACACCAACTGCTGGTCCCAGTATACCTACTTTTAAAAAAACATTTTTTCTTCCTTTCCCCTCCTAAAGAAAGTACCTTGAATTTGAGAAAAGATGTTAGGAAGGACAGAGAGGGGTGCATCTTTTCGAGAAGTTAATAATTGTATGTTTTATTGCATCATCTTTTAGAACATGATTTCCACTGCATAGTTTCAATTAATTTGACAGTTTTTAAAATTTTAAGTAAATTTGTTCCAAAAGGCATGTTTTTGGACATGGAACTATAAATGAAATGGAAGATTTAAGTAAACTACGTTTCAAGCAGTCTTAGTTTTTCTTATGAGTTACTTGTCCATAGTACAAGCCTTTTTCGCGTTGTAGCATCTTTCTGGAGCACATTGAACTTTGCCATTGGAGGGTGTGAAAAAGAATAAATCATCAGTGCTATTAGATAATATGTAAGGATATGTTAACTTGGTAGGCGGGTCTTACAGCCTTCCCAGTTCTCTGTAATCACTCACGTTCTCAGATTTGCTGGACTTTTCGTAAAACTTTCCTGTTTGGTTACCATACACACTTTTTCATTAATATGGAGTTAACTTCCAGCCCCACCACCAACTGTGAATGTCTTGATCCTTAGGTAAGAGAAAAAATAAAAGATGTATGTGAACAACATTTAAAAATAATTCTAAAGAGTAAGAAAGAAATCAAGTAAGTTTTACCAGATGTTTTTAGTCCTCACTTTTGTCAATTTCATTTATCAACAGTTATCTCTAATTTTTGAACCTAAAAGTAAGACTTGCTAGAGAGAAAAAAAAATCTAGTAGTCTGATAGGTAATTTAAATTATAGAGTTTTCTCGGCTTTCACAAGAAAGAACACGCTTCCCTCGTTGTTTACTTTTAAAATCCAGTTAAAATATTTTAAATTTAAATCAGTAATAGTATACTGTGTCATAAACGTCTTTTATGTGATATGTAATCAAGTAGAGTTGGTTAGCTATTTTAGTTTAGTTCCAAACATCAATCTTTTGTTATACATTTTTACATTTAGACATATATCAAATCTGGTGTTAGACTCTGCTTTCTAAAGGTTTCTTTTTAGAGTGAATTTTGCTATAGGGAGGGATGTGTGCTTGCCAGAGAGACAAAGAGAGACAGAGGGACAGGAAATAAGAAATCACCTCCCCGCCGGGGGAATGGCCACACCGTAATCCCTTTTCTTCTATTCTCCTCTTGGGATCCTGGGCACACATGCTCATGTGCCCAGGGTGATTCCCAAACCACTGAGTCCAGGACTCAAACCATGGTCAGCCATATTCCAGCGATATAGCCATTAATGCCATCTGCTGGTCCCTCTAGGGATTATTTGATTTTTCAAGTGGTCAGTCTTGTTCCAAGCAGCACTGCTTAAGGTGCAAAAGTAGCCTAGAAGATAGGCTTGATGCTTAAAATGGCAGAAACTTATTCTTTTATAGTTGTGTAGGCCAGAATTCCAAAAGCAAGTTCTTCTGAAGGTGTTCCTTGGGTTATAGCCTTAAAACCTCAATCTTTTTCTGTCTTTACATGTCCTTTCCTGTGTGTGTCTGAGTCCATATCTCTTCTTTTTCTTATAAGACATCAGTTGTTGAATTTAGGGCCCATCTCAAATCCATGATTGGATGATTTCATCTTGAGATCCTTGACTAATTGCAGATGCAAAGACCCTATTTCCAATAAGGCTGAGGTTCCAAGTAGACATGAATTTCTGGGGGAGGTTCTATTATCAATATCATTTTTTGTTATCTAAAACTTTCATTTCTTACTAATTTTGATAGCATTTGTTACGTGAGAGCCTTTACCCACAGAAAGATTTTTTTTTGCAGGAAACTCTTGTATTTTTTTCTTTCTACTTCATTCACTCCTCCCCCAAGAAATCATGCAATTAAGGAGTCCAGGTACCTTAACCCACAATTATCAGGGGAATAGTACGGAACATATTGAGTCTTTGTGTAGAAAAACAGAAAAATTCATCAAGACTTTTCCAGCAACCCTGTAGTTTTCCTGCACATCGCTGTACCCAGAACACTGGTATGGTAAACAGACCAGAGTCTCCTGCTATGTCCAATAAAATCTGGTTTTTCATTTCAACTTCTCTGTTCCATTAGGTGAATAAAATCAGAATCAAGCAGGTAGATCTCAAGGTCCAGAATCTAGCAATGAAATGGGAAGCACTGTTAAGTCTCCATTCCAGCTTTAACAGTCACAAAGTTAATATATGTAATGCTCATTTCTCAGTGCAATATGTTCTCACTCTTTCATCCAGGATTATAGCAGTAGTCTGAAGAGATATTAATATGCCTATTTTAAAATAAAGAAAAAAATTTTTTTCTGAGGCATTTTAAGGTCCAACTACTTTTTGCTAAGAGCAGGAGTTAGAACTCCAATGTCTTGACTCTCCATAGTTGTTTTTTTATGTTCACTTTGATGACCCGTAATGGGATCCAAGTTAGAATTTTCTTACTTAGATAAGTAAGAATCATTGTGTGTGTTGAGAATCCCAGTGAGTACTGTGGCTTATAGTGCTTATGGAGAGGTCAGGGTATTTGTTTTTATGTGAACAGTGCTATTACTCATTGAGTGGTTAATGAATTTTTAAGCCTCCTGTAAATCCTGATGTTTCCAAAATCTTTATTTAAAGCTTGCCATACTTTAGGGCCAGCAGGTGACATGGTGGTTAAGACACTTAAAGACACTGGACTTCCACACTGCTACCCCTCAGTTCAAGTCCCAGACCTGGCAGCTTGCTTTCTCACTTTCCTTCTCTCTCTGATCAAATTAAAAAATAATAATAATAAATTAAATAATATTTTTAAGAAAAAAGCTTGCCATACCTGCTCCAATATGCCAAATTGGCATCTACTAACATCTTAGTCGGAATGGTATAAAAGTCCTTGCTATGGACCAGCAGGTGGCGTGGTGGTTAAGGTGCTGGACATTCCCACATGGCCAACCATGGTTTGAGTCCCGAACCTGGTAGCTTGCTTTCTCACTTCCTCTCTCTCTCTCTCTCTCTCTCTCTCTCTCTGGTCAAATTAAAATAAAATGAATGAATAAATAAAATAAAATAAATCTCTTTAAAAAAAGTCCTTGCTGTGTCCAATAATATATTTATTTTCTTCAGTGTTAATTAATAAAAAGTGAATTAATTTCTAGTTCTTCTTTGAGCTATATAAGTTGCCAAAACATGATTGCTATCTAAAGAATGTCTTTGAAAAATTATGAAATGGTTGGTTTTATGGTGTTATACAGCATTGTTCTTTTCAGACAAGTTCATCCAATTTTGTTAATGATTTTACATAAGCAAGTCTAGTGCATCTACTGGATTTTCTCACACATTATTCTAGAACACATTGCTTTTGTGTTGTAGATATTTGGGTGACTGGGGTTCACTTCTGTGATGTGTTTTTCATCAAAGCTGTTCAAAATAGGTTATTGGTTTCCTTTGGTATTATGACTGAGATCACTTGATCTTCTCCTTGAATTCTAATTGAAGCTCATTTCTCTCCCTTTTATTTTCAGATATTTGTATCTGCTGTTCTCTGGTGATGATCTTTTACCTTTAGACCACTGGGTGTTTAATACAGAGGCTCACCCTCTGCCTGTGTTACATTTAGCCAACACCACACTTTCAGGTAATCCTGCTGTTCGATGAAAACAGCTCCAGAAGGACCATTCTCACCTGTGTTTTGTTTACATGGACCACTACAAAAACTAGTCTGGAGAGGCGGCTTTTGAAAACCTGGACCTCTAAGTTAACATGGCAGGGTGAAACTATTCCCTGTAAGACTTTTCAGCTTGTAGATATATCAACTTTGAAATTATTCCATTTTATACCTGACCAAAATATGTTCTGGTACGTGTAGAACAGAGACCTGATGCGCTTTGATTCTTAATGAGATGATCACATGAGAAATGAAGCCTATTACTACTGTATTGTTTTTAGAGGCCTAGAGTCTGGAAGCTAGACTTCTTAGAGCAAGCCAAGAATATAGAGCACCTTGCAGGAGTTAGAGATGGCCTTTGGAACCAATTATATTTTGTTTCCTGCAGCAGTGGAGCAGCTTTCAAATCAGATATTTACACATTGTTTATCCCTTTTTTCTCCATTTTAATGATGGAATGAACTAAGATAAACAAGACCAAAAGAACAGTATACCTGCATCAGCAGCAAGAGGACTAAGAAAAGAAACAGAAATACCATCCTGTCTGAATTTCCAAGTTCCCCATTGGATGAACAGATTGGCAATAATTTCAAATACCAATGTATTTCACTGAAATTTCTTGATTAAATTTAGTTTTCTCTGGGGGCATGATCTCACAAATAATATTCTTAAAGTCTTTTTCTCCATATGGAATCATTGAAATTGCTCTTTATCATAACCACTACTTATGAGCCTGGGTTTGGGATTTTATGCATGTAGTTCAGTCTAGTGTTGGTAGCATGACAAAAAGTGGGGGAAATGCTGCAATTTGTTGCCTTGAAATCTGTTCTAAGAGAACTTCTTGGTTTTGTTTGTATATTATTTTTCCAAGCCAGCAAATTTACTGAGTAAATTTTATCCACTTTAGTCTCATAATAAAGTTAGTAGAGTCACTCAACTTACAACTTTAATTATGTGCAAATTTCCTATACTGTCATGCAGCTCTACAATTGCCTTGATAAGCTACATTACTTTTACAACTTATTAAAGCAAAAACAAAACACAGTGAAATTTCCTTAATTTATCTGGAATAGGGGCAGGAGATCTTTTTATTTGTTATCTCATCAGATGAGTCAGCTGTTCACAGATATTTTATGATTTTTAATTTCATCAAGGATATATATATATATATATATAATAACTTTCAGCAATAAAAGTGTTGTATAAGTAATCATATTAGATCAAAACTGGAATATATTTAAGAGACTTTCTTTTATCATCAGTAGGTTTTGCATTGGTATTTCTTTTTAAATAAATTGTTCTTTATAATTTAGGAGAACTTAAATTTTATAAAGAAGTATAAGCTGTCTAGTGCTTATATATTTTCTGTCCCTTGAATTTACATGAAAGTTCAAGATATTTTTTCTTCTTTACCTATAATACAGTTCAACTGACATTAATAAAAGTTGGAAAATATATAATTAGTCTAACATTTACTCAAAATTTAAAGATTTCATAAGACAAAATTTGTACAAGAAGCCTGTTTCGACATTCTGAAGGCTTATTTCCTTATTTGATCATTTTTGTTTTTAATTTTCTGTTAGCGTGTAGTAGATTTAAGTTGGGAAGATATTTAATAAATTAATATAATTAAATATTTTCTATGGGTGGTCATAATACACCACAATCATTAAGTGGTTTTCATAGTTCAGCCAGTGGTTCATAATGATAACCACCCCCAATTTTTTCAGGATACATAGAAAATTAAGATATAGAACCAGTTGCATTAAGTCTTTAGGAGAGTTAAATTTTAACACATATTTTGAAGTTGTGACATCTTTTACTACCTGGAAATTTTAAAATTTTAAATGAGAATAGTTGATGACTATGACTTTAGAAGAAAAGAGGAAAGTATTTTGTTGTAAAAAAAAAAAAAAAAACACAAAAACATAGTGGTTCTTCAAAATCTAGCACAAACCCACTTAAGAATTACTGAAAAAAGTAAAAGTCTTGACTTGGCTAAGACCCAAAGCAGTTGTACAGGTGACAGAGAACTCCCTTGCTTTTTGTTCAGAAGAATGCAGAATGAAGGGCCTTCTTGGCTTCCCAGAAATTTCTCAAGGGATGAGGAGACAGAACTCCTACTCCCAAGTATTCTGTATTACTTGGATACCTGGAGCTTAAGAGGAAGTAGAGAAATGTACAAGCCAGGTCAGTTCTTGGTTTAAGCAAAGAATTTGAGAAGAACAGTGTAAGGGTCTTCTTTACCACCCGTATCTTCTTCTTTGTGATGATAAGGCTAGAGCTTATAACAATGCTTCCATTTTTTCTTCTCTGAATACCAAAGGCAATTAAAAGTCAGCTACAAATGACTTGCCAGTGTTAATGTTTTCTTTTTTGTTACAAGTTTTTAGATTATTTCCTCCAGTATCAATCCTTATACCATATTCTGCTTAGTTCCCAAGAGTATTAGTTACTTTCTTTTGTCCTTATAGCTCTTTGCATTTAGTAGACCTTATATTGGGTCATCAGAAAAGTCAGGATGTGTTTTTCTTTGCAAAAATGCATCTTGACTTTTCCGATGACCTACTATTACTCAGGTTAAATGCTCATTACATTGTAAGACTTTCTGCAGAGACCCCAGAAATGCTCCTTTCCAGGTGCCTCCTCAGAATGCTGAAACCTCACCTTGTGCTGTTGGCACAAATGTATGAAACAGTTGGTACATAAAAGAAAAAATAATCGGTATATTGAACACTTCTTTACCTTCTACACCTATTTCTCGACATTTTAGAACTACACATTTTGGTTCAAACCAGTTTTTTAAAAATTAATATTATTGTTGTTCAACCTGTATAAAGTTGTTAAAACCAGGAGGATGGGGCCCTAACCAAAAAAGAAATCTCACTGTAGAAAAACAACTCCCCAGTCGGGGTTCTTACTTTCTGGTGGGTTGCAGTTTATGTCTTTCTAATACCGACTTACTCCTGTCTTTGACCAGATGTTGATATGTAAAAGTAAAGCCTGGGTATTGAAGGATACATTCTTTTTTGTGGAACATTAACCCTGATTTTCTATCATGCCATCTAAGCAACCGAGGACTTTACTTAGTAGATTTTAACCAAGCAGTTTGAGATCTCAACTATCAACCTGTCATCTTCTTCATTGCCAAAATCTTTGTCAAAAGTCCCAATTTGATCAAAGATTATGCTTGCCATTCTCATTATAATGTAGTTTCTCTAGAAGCTTGGATTTTTTTGAGTGCACGAGTAAATGAGAGAATGAGTGGATAAACATGTACGAAGTACATAACGTGCCATGCTTTTTGCCTGGCACTTTCAAGCATTATAACATTTTATGTGATTCCAGTGGCATTTTCTGTAGGAGAGTAGTTCATACCATTTTAAATGTTTTCCAATATGAATTGTGTTACAGAATTCTTAATTTTATATTTCATTTAAATTAAAGAGGAAAAGGTTTATAATATATTTTAAACAATGTGTTACTATATAATACTAACAACTATAATTGTAGTTAATAAACTAAAGTCTCTTGGAAAATGTCAAAGAAATATTTGATTTCTGATGCAACTTTGACTAAACTATTTACTTTAGAAATAAAAACATTCTTATTTTATTATTCTTATCACTTTAATTATATAATTAAAAATCAATGTTTTATAGAAGTGCTGGTTATTTTATATTCAAAAGTTTTTGTCACATAATTCATGAGTAAAACTTTGCAGTTGTAAATTGTCTTTGCTCTGGTGGGTCCTGTTAACAGCCCCATGTTGTTAAATATAAACGAAAGTATACTAAAATATTTCTGAGTTCTAAGTAGCAGTTCCTAGTCATCATATTTTGAATTCTTATTTTTCTTTAGGTTTCATTACCCTCAAATTGGCTAGTTCCTATATTATCCACTCTACACATAGTTATATACATAAATACAATTATACACAGAGATTTTTTAATACTGTCTGTTAATGAATAAACACCATTGTTGCTAACTGGTCTGGGCTGCACAAATTAGAAGCAGATTATTTGGATAATCGCACTTGGGATGGAAATATTTTAGTCCACTTAAACTCTGCTTCCGGAACATTGGTGAAGATGATTTTCTGTTACTTCAGCTCATTCAGATTATGGTGAATGTTCTTTCTGATCTATAACCAGTCAGCAAGTTTTTCTGCAAAGAGTCAGGTAAATACTTTAGGCTATGTAAGCCATACACTCTCTTTTATTACTCATTTCTGCTGTGAAGTATTAAAACAGCTGTCAATAATATGTAAATGAATGACTATAACTGTGTTCCAATAAAACTTTATTTACAAGACAGTTGGAGGGCTAGATTTGGCCTGCTGGTCATAGTTGCTGACCCAAATCCCAAGCTTAATTTGTGTGAGACCCTCCAAGTTTTGACCTATATCTTTTCTCAGTGTTTGGTTTTATGTAACTTATTTTTAAGTCAAAAAGATGTGCATATGTACAATTGTATGTATTTGTGTAACCTAAAGATACATTTGTTGTTTATTTGAAAGTACATATATACTCTTCTGGAGTCTGTTAGGCTTCAGGATGACATGACTATCCTGAAAGAGGCAGAATTTTTATTTTTGTCTTGGGGGGGGTAGGTATGCAATCAGCCATTATCCTCACTTTGTCACTTAATGCCATAATTCAAGATTCCCCATTTAAAAAGGGAGATCTGTGTGGTGTCAAATATATTCTCTTCAAGGTCTGTCTACTCATTGACCCTCGTAGCAGGATTCTGGATTGCTGAAGCTGCAGAAATTCATCTATCTGGGCATTATAAGAGCTCTATGACAAAAATATGATAGAATTTCTGATTTTGTGCTACAGAAACAAATCTTTTGAAAAATTCTAAGCAACAGAAAATGTGTTATGTACTCATTTATTTGTCACTTAGCAGAAACTATTCCTTTTTCAAACTGCAGAAGGATAATGCCTCTGTTACCTCTAGAACAGCCTAAGTCTGAGAAGAGGAAAGAAAAGATGTATTCAGGAGAGTTACCATCCTCTTTCCTTGTATAGCTCTCTCTTTCTTCAGTTCCTTTACAGTTCAGTACCATTGTTTTAGAATGTCAATACACATCATTTTTCAATTAAGTAACACCTCAACTTCAGTCTTACAATTCCACTATTTAATGATTAATCCATCTCAAACATGGTTTGAGCCCTGCATTGGTAGAACACATAAAATTGTTCATGTAATTACACAACACTGGATTACTAGCATTGCAGTGCATTAACCATTCTGAGACAGATTTTTCACTAAGAAATTTATCAACTGTTTCACTATTTTTGGAAAATTTAAAGGAGATAAAGTCTGTATTCAAAAAGGAACAGACATCTATTTTGTCCCTTTCACTTTATAAATGAGCTGCCTTTCCAGTTCCAACATAACGCAAGTTTTTACTTCAACTCCATGTGACACACACACACCACACAGAGGACTTTTGGACAGTTGCAAACATCCTGTAGCTATTTGAATACTACAGAAGTCTATTACAGACTGCCAGAAAACTATATGAGAATAAGTACAACTCTTTCTTGGGAAAAGGTTTTCTTTTAGGAAATTTAGAAATTATTTTTTTGCTGGATAAGTTAACTAAATAATCCCCAATTTTAACTACTGGATTTGGAAGTTGAAATGCCATTGTTCAATCTCACAGGTCTCAAATTCACTGATAACATTTTTACCTATACTAGTAAGTGGGGTAAGTATAACCTAAATTGGTACTCACCGGCTGCTCATGAACTGGTTTCCAGTCATGTCCTCCATAATGTGATTTTTACAAATTAAAGATGATATTGTATATTAAAGATCAAATAAAGATGTTCTTTAAATGAAAAGTCTTTTTTTTTTTTACTCATTCATGACAGTCTCTATACATTAACCGTGTTGCACAACCATTGCCACTACTTCCAGAACTTTTCCATCATTCTAAACAGAGACTCTAACCAGTAAACTATAACTCTCCAGTATCATTTTTCTCAGCCCCTAGTAACTTCCAATCTGCTGTCTGA